ATCAATTAGAATGTCCTAGTTAAAGGAGTCGAAGAGAGGTATTTGTCAAAATTACACTAATCTGGATACAAAGAGAGAGGATCAAATATTTATGAACATTAAAACATGGATTCCCGTGAAATTTCGGCGCTTAGCTGATTCTGGAGTGCATTTTTAAATCTGCGAATAGCACTTTGAAATGATTGAAGGTAACGATAAATTAAAAGTTTCAACACCAAATTTTGTTTTATTTTTGACATCTTAAATGGGTGAGATAGGGTTTATGCTAGTATCTGAAAAGAGCACAAGGGAGCATGTGGAATGATAAATTACAGCACTTAGTCGTAAAATTTTCACTGATGATCTTCGAAAAAAATTCGAGTTCCATTAAACAAACCGTATAATCGAATAAAGAATCATTTTTAGTAGAATTATTTTTGTACTGAGTACTCAGGAAACCGAAGAGATCAAGGAAATTAAAAATTATTTAGGTATGCGAAGTCAGTTGAAGAAACTGTTTGAATTTTACTTGGACATCTTTAATGGATCATATCTATTGCTTGACAAGTCGCAGTTGGATGCACATACTCTTTATGAGTCGTTTTATTTCATATAAGGTGCACCAGAGGCAAAACATGAGCAAACATTTTTTTTCTTTATTTTTTACACAGTTAGATAGAGCATGTTGAGCTGATCACGAATATCACCTTTAAAACATTTGTTGATCACGTTTTGGATGAAAACATTTCAAAATACGAAAAATAGCTATGAAAATGATCTATTTCGCACTTTTTAAGAAATTTCAAAATTTCGATCAATAATAATACTGATGAGACTTCGAAACTTTGTTATTCAGATTCAGCATCAAAATTCGAGTAGAACTGTAATAATTTAAGAATTTTTCATCATTCATATCTGTTTCAGTAAGACTGACACGGCCGTCAAATGACACAAACGACACGTCATTCTGCCAAACCTATCTAGTCTTTTGTTCTACAACATTTCCCCAACCTTCTCATATCATTCGAACCGTCAAGTGAAGGCAAAAAACGCCTAGCATGGGTTTGGACAAATTTTCTTTTCTCATAGAGAAAAACTGATTTTACTGAAAAAAATGCTGTTGAAAAAAATCATGTTTTTATCATTCGGGTCAAACTTCGTCCAATTTCGATTTCGACATGAACATATAGGTAAAAAATCGTGTAGAATTCAATGGAGATATTTAGAGACGTCTATCGAATCTCTGAAGACCTTCGGGAAAAAATTTTCTTATGAAAAGTATCTGAAACGTGCATTTCTTTGCCATGTCACTCTTAAAAGAAATCGAGTGACATGTTTATCTTCTCCTGCACTTAGAGCCGAATGCACATTGGAGAAGTCAACCGCAACTAATCTAATTTTTTTTGTTCCCCGCAGGGCTTTTGAAGTTATTTTTTTTTTTGATTTTTGATTTTTATATTTTTTTTTCAATTAATGGAGAAAAGAGAAATGAGAAATAAAAAAGTAATATCGTTTACTTGAGTTTACTGTTGGTGATTTTGCGATGCGATACAACATCTGACTTACATGCTTGACCGAAGAAGAGAGAAAGAACTTCACCGTATGACTTACCTTGACTATAAGCATCAATGGAGCGCCAAAATCGACGAAACAGCTTCATGTGAATTTTTCGTTCTTTGAAGTTGTCACGAGACTCAGAAATGAGACGGAGCATCGTTGGAAATGTCTGATCACTCTTTTTCCTTACGTATTGCTTCATATGACACCAAAGGCCTTCGATGGCATTCAATTCACAGTGAAATTTCGGACAGAATATTACCTTAATATTATACTTCTTTCCTAATATTTCCAGTTTGGAAACATTTTGGAATGCAGGATGTTGTGCAAGAAGAGCCCGCAGTTCGACTAGATTGATCGAATGACGAACAGGAACTTTTAATTCTTTTGCTAGTTGAAGCAAACCTTTCGTCTTTCCACGATACTCACCAGTTGTGAAACTACATGAAATAGAAACGAGCTTACCTGTGTGATCAACGTAATCAATTGAGTCGGCGGGACACTTCGTACCTATTCCTTTACTAAATTCATTAATAGAATACTCACGCGCCGAATGAGTACGAGCATTGTCTACTACTACGACAATATCATGACCTTTGAAATCCTGTTTGAAAGAAATAAGTTGAAAGAAACGTTCAAACTGAGAAAGAATCGTTCCGTTGTCGAAATAGCCTTCAATACCTACATTGATGCCGGCGGTAGCTGAGTTTCTAATATAGATTAAAACATCATCATCACTAGAAAGAGAAGGAAATTTTTTGACAGCTTTACCATACTCGGCATCAGAAAGAGAGAAGAACGGTCCACTTGGATGTTGGACTATGAAATCGCTGATCATGTAGGAACGGCCACGACCTTTGGAAAAAAAAGGAGTGTGACCTTCCACTGTCCACCTCTTAGCCGACATTTCCCCACTCTTAAAAGTTGATTCATCATGAACTAAAACAACAGAAGAAAACAAGTTATTTGAAAATTTAAAGCAAATTAATTTAAAATTTACTTACAGATAAGAATGGAAGGATTATGTGAAGGAATTTTCCATACAGGCTGATCGCCATCGGTTATTGTATAATACAAATCTTTCCTTTGAAGAAAATAAGAAATGAATTCTTGTCGATGAGTGATTACATCTTGCCTTTCATGACCCTCGAAATAAGGCCTTTGAGTATTTGGTTGAAATTTGGCACCCCAACGTCGAAGATCTAAACGACAACTCTCGACTGAACGAACTAGAGCATCATCGAGTTTTGAAGTTTGTGTTAGCTCGTAGAATTTTTCATCGATGAAGTTCGCCAAGTCGATTGCTGTAAAATCAGCTGATTTATGCGAACAAGATTCAATAGCGAAAAGCTTAGCGTCTGCCTCGAGTTCTGGAAACATGTCGTAAAATGTTTCATGATACTTACCTTCTCGACCTTCCTCCTGAAATACTTCAATATCACCTGAAATGAAAATTTCTGCCCGCTTATGAGCATTTTCACACCGGTAAGCACCAATATTTTTTAGAAGACCGCCAGTGTCACGCCATGTGATATTGAGATAGCGAAGAATTGTATAAATAAGAACTGACAAGTTACGAGATCCACACGCACTCTTACAAATTTCAAACAAATCGCCAATTATAGGCAACTCTATTTTGAGTTTTGAATTCTTGTTGCCGCCTTCACCTTCGCTTTCATCTTTTGTCTCGTCATAATCTAGATCTACAATACTTCCCATCTCGACGTTTAACGATGGCGATGATGATAAAGATGACGATGACGATGAAGCGTCTTGCTGTTTGAGATCAACTTTCAGTTTCCATCGATTGACGGCTGCATTTAGCGCTTTCGACACTTTGTTAGACTTTCGAGGCATATTATGACGTTTAAAGTGATCTTGCCCAGTGCTGTTCAATATTCAGAAAATTATAAATGTTACTGTATGTGTGACAAAAGCTCGTTTCGTAAGAAAATATGTTGTCATCGCATGTGACAGAACGCAAGAGAAATGAAATGTCTGACGTATGTTGTCAAACATGCGACAGAACGCAAGAGATATGCACTATGTTAAATACGTTATGTCACAACGTTAAATAACCAAGAGATATGTAAGAGTAAGGTCTATCTTTCCTCATCTTCAAATTCTAGACGTGCGACACCACTCATTTCACTACAAGAAACATAGACTGCCGCCATTTCATAAGAAAATTTTTTCCCGAAGGTCTTCAGAGATTCGATAGACGTCTCTAAATATCTCCATTGAATTCTACACGATTTTTTACCTATATGTTCATGTCGA